CCTAAGATTGATAAAGAACTAGCAAAAGAGAAAATGGCACCAATGGATTCTAAATGTCACATCAAGTCCGAAAGAAAAAAGGGGCATGATGATCACATATAAAAAATTATTTATCTTAAAAAATATCTTTAAAATGCTCAGAAGGCAAATCTTTAAACACCTCTTGTGTAGATGTGCTTGAAAAAATGGGACTTTGCATTCTTGTTTGCTTCTTTACTGCTGAGCTGCTCACAGTCCAGGTAAAAGACATCTTACTAATTCATTGCTTTGTTCTGTTTTGTCCTCCCAAGGTCGAGTGGTGGGCATTCTTCAGAAGAACTGGCGGGATTATGTGGTGACATTTCCATCCAAAGAAGAGGTCCAATCTCAGGGCAAAAATGCTCAGAAAATCCTAGTTACACCTTGGGATTACAGAATCCCCAAAATTCGAATTAGTACCCAGCAAGCGGAAGCCCTCCAGGTAGCCAACACTGTACCTCTACTRTTCTCCTTCTGTCTTTACCAGCTTCTGAGCAGTACCAGGAAGCRTTATTAATTCCTTTGCATAAGAGAAAATAAATTATTGATGGATTCTGGCACTCTAAGATACCTTTTTTTTAAAAGTTCTAAATATATAAGAACCATCTATTAAGTAGTCCGTGGTTAATAAATGAAGGCCAGAGAGAAATCGTCCTAGAAAGAGCTGTGTAGGACAACCTGAACGAACATACATTATCCAGCTGTCCAACCCAGAAACTTTCAATAGATACACTTTGCCAACACTAACAAGCTTTCTTCCAGCAAGAGATATAGAAATACGATCACTCTGCCCTGTAGGGATGATGTAGTGGTACTTCACAGAATCGATTATCCATAAAGGAAAATAGCACTGGAGAGAAGACATAAACAAGAAAGTTAGAAATTAAACTTTTCTTGTGGCAAAGAGTGTGGGCATTGCCCAATTTAATTCACCTGATGTTTTGCAGTTTATGAGACACTAAGGCAGAATGTCCCCAGTCTGTAACCTGGACATTGTATCTTTACATCTTAYAGTTTTTTGCAGACTCTCAGAGGTCAGTAGCAACTACACACATWCCATTTCCATAGTTTCCTGGACTTGTTGGGTAGTGACGTTCCAATTTACACTGATATCTTCCCAAGATCATCTTAAGACTTCAAAGAAATTAGAAGCCAGATGCAGTGGCACATGCCTRTAATCCCAGAAGTTCAGGAGGCTGAGACAGGAGGGTTGCAAGTGCAAAGCCAGCCTTAACAATTTAGTGAGGCCCTAAGCAATTCAGTGAGACCWTGTCTAAAAATAAAATATAAAAAAGGGCTGGGGATGGGGCTCAGTGGTTAAACGCCCCTGCGTTCAATTCCTGCTACAAAAGAAAAAGAAAAAAAAGAAAAGAAAAAGAAATTAGAAAGTAATTCCCAAACACTTAAAATTGAGACTGCCGTTTTAAAACTTAATTTAGACCATGCATAATTAGGTTTATCCCTGTGTTGCAAGTATTAACTAAAATGTATTACAACTGCTTTTCTTTAACAAACTAAAATTTCCAGTCCACTTATTTGATGTAGAGAGGTAATGCCTCCCTTCAAAGCAATGAGCCAAGCATTTGCAATGCCATCTGGCAATTCAGTAAAACAGGAAGAATAAAAATAAATAAAATAAACCACCACACACCAGTATTGCAAATTTGCCCCTTTCTTTGGAACTGAGTGCTGTTTATCTCTTGTTTGCTTGATGTTTCTAATTGAACCACTTAACTCCTAGTGCTTGGCTCATGTTTTATTTYTTCCTTTGTGCAGGACTTCAGGGTGGTTGTGCGCATCGATTCCTGGGAGTCAACATCTGTGTATCCAAATGGGCATTTTGTGCGTGTTTTAGGAAGAATCGGTGATCTGGAAGGGGAGATTGCAACCATCCTGGTGGAAAACAGTATTTCAGTTGTCCCTTTCTCAGAAGCTCAGGTCAGATTTCCCAGAGGCCTTTGATCTAGTAGCACACATTTTCGTTTTGCTTTTGTTGTTGTTTCATTATTAAGAAAGAAAAATCTTTATGCTATGTAACAACCCACTGTCTAAAGCCACAGAGTAATGAAAAAAATCTCACTCCACTTTATTTCATATTTGAACCAGACTGAAGTCTGCTTCAAATGTAAAATTTGTTTCCTAGAGCCTCATAGTTCTAAAATTTTTACATTTTCCAACTGTGCTTAAAAATGACATGTCAATGTCCTGCAGTCAGTATACATCCATCCTCAACAACTGTAAATGTACTTGGTTATAGACCCATTGGACTCTACTCCTCTTTAGAGTTGTTCAACCAGAGTCTTCATAAAACTAC